TGCATTCCTTTGGAACCAACGTATGATGATTCAGGTCACATGTCGTGGTTTTGCAACTGCACAATACATGCAACCCGAGCCCGCGAAATATGCCTACGCGCCCAACCTCGAAGCGAAGACCTTTATGCAACCGGAGCAAAACTACTATGCTCACCACCCTGGCCGTTTCGTATACATCAAGGATGAGGAAAACGGCGAGATCTTCTCGGCGCCGTATGAACCGGTAAGGGCAAAGTTGGATCGCTTCACCTTCGATGTAGGCAAAAGCGACATCAAATGGCTTGTGGAGAAGTCTGGCATTCGTGTCGAGATGACCTTCTTACTGCCCACCGACGATGTGGCTGAACTCTGGAGCATCAATGTGACCAACATCTCAAGTCGCAAGCGCAACTTGAGTATCTACCCCTACTTTCCATTGGGCTACATGTCATGGATGAACCAAGAGGCGGAGTGGAATACGAACGTTGGGGGCGTGGTTGGGAGCTGTAAGACTCCGTATCAAAAAGCAGAGGATTACCCGAAGACGAAATATCTGAAAGACAAGACCTACTTCCTCTGTGAAACCACACCAGTCTCATGGGAAGCGAAGCAAGAAGCTTTCGAAGGCGAAGGAGGCCTACAAGCGCCATCGGCACTAAAAGAGTCACAGCTTTCGAACAGCGATGCCCGTTACGAAACTCCGACCGCGGTCGTTCAATACTGGGCTGATCTGGGCGAGAACGAGAGCAAAGAGTACAGGTTTCTGTTCGGTCCCGCATACGACGAAGCCGAGATCCTCGACATGCGCAAGAAATACCTCAACAAGATGGCGTTCGCGAAGGCCGCCAAAGACTACGAAGACTATATTCAACGTGGCAGCGGTTGCGTACGTCTCGAGACTCCAGACAAAGATCTCGATAACTTAGTCAACAACTGGCTGCCCCGACAATTATACTACCACGGCGACGTAAACAGACTTACGACCGATCCGCAAACGCGAAACTACCTTCAAGACAACATGGGCATGAGCTTCATCAAGCCGGAAGTAGCCCGCAAAGCCATCACCACAGCGGTCGGTCAGCAGGAGAAGAACGGCTCCATGCCAGATGGTATCCTTCTAGCCAAAGGAGCGGTGCTCAAGTACATCAACCAAATCCCTCACACCGACCACTGCGTCTGGCTCCCCATCGCCCTCGAAATCTACCTCAGCGAAACAGGCGACTACGCGCTGCTAGACGAAAAGGTGACCAGCATGTACGGCGACACCTTCACAGTCTTCGAGCGCTTCAGCCGCGCCATGGACTGGCTGCTCTCCTCAAACGCACGAGACGACCGCGGACTCTCCTACATCGCGCAGGGCGACTGGTGCGACCCGATGAACATGGTCGGTCCCAAAGGCGTCGGTGTATCAGGCTGGCTCACCGTCGCAACCGCCTACGCCGTAAATCTGTGGGCGCAAATCTGCGAAGACGCCGACAAACCCGACATCGCGAAGAAATACCGCACCGGCGCTGAACAAGTCAACGAATCAGCTAACGAGCACCTCTGGGACGGCGACTGGTTTGCCCGCGGTATCACAGACGACAACGTAACGTTCGGCATCAAAGACGACAAAGAAGGTCGCATCTGGCTGAACCCTCAAGCCTGGTCCATCCTCGGCGGCGCAGCCTCCTCGGAGCAAATCTCGAAAATCCTGCCCCAGGTCGACGAGCAACTCACCACACCCTACGGCGTCGTCATGTTCGGCCCGCCCTTCACCGCTATGCGCGAAGACGTCGGTCGCGTAACGCAAAAGTATCCCGGTCAAGGCGAGAACGGCTCCGTGTACAACCACGCCGCTGCCTTTTACGCCTGGGCCCTTTACGGTATCGATGAAGTGGACCGCGCGTACGCCACGCTCCGCGCTATGATCCCCGGTCCTGATGAAGAGGATTTGATTCGTAGGGGTCAACTCCCTATTTTCATTCCTAACTACTACCGTGGCGGGTATGGGATTAAGCATCTGGACCGCACGGCTGGTCGCTCGAGTCAGCTGTTCAATACTGGGACTGTGAGTTGGGTGTATAGGTGTTTTATCGAAGGGCTGTGTGGGTTGAGGGGTGTAAGGGAGGGGCTGAAGATCGCGCCGAAGATGCCGAGTGATTGGGAGGAGATGAAGGTGAGGAGGGAGTTTAGGGGTGCGGTGTTTGATGTTCAGATTAAGAGGGGGGATGTTGAGGATGTCAAGGTTGTGGTTGATGGGGAGGAGGTGGAGGGATGCGTTGTTAAGAATGTTACGGCTGGGAAGACGTACAAGGTGCTTGTGGAGGTACCGAGGGCGAAGAAAAATGCAGTCAATGGGACGCAGTCGAATGGGATTAGGACGAATGGAGGACTGACAAATGGGTCAGCGACGAACGGAAACGGTACTCATGGGACGAAGTAGAGGTAGCATAGCACATGCGAGAATTTGAAGGTTTTGTTCTTTTAGGCTACTTCCATCGCGCGTTTGCTAAGCAACTCTCCCCAAGGCTGGACATGATGCCAAATTTCCATCTTGACGTAGAAACATCATCTACTGCCCTGACCCGAAAAGAACATATCCACACTATTCCTCCACGCACTCTCCGCAACCTTCTCCACGCCAACACCCTTAATCCCCGCAACAATCAACGCCACCTTCTCCACATTGCAACTCTCATTCCTCTCCTTCACCATATCACCAATACTGAACTTGTCTTTCTTCTTACTTCCCCAAGACCATTTCGTCGCATTCTTCAAATACGCTTTTGCGACTTCACTAGACGCTTGGATATCGCCCCATGGCGCATCTGTTTCAATCTGAAGCTTATCCAATGGAACATGCTTGATCATATCCAAGCTATCGCGATCTCGGAAAGCGAAGTTGTTGACACTAACATGTAGGCCCATGCCGGTCAAAGTCTGCATCTGCGCTGTGGTACCAACGAAAGAGTGGACTAGGCCGGATCGCAAAGGCAGCCGGTCCATGTACGGCTCGATTATAGCAACGAAGTCTTCGAATGCGGCGCGACAGTGGAGGAAGAGGGGTAGTTTCCATCCCGCGCTCACAATCATATCGAGCTGGCGCTTGAACACGCGTATCTGAACGTCTTTTGGGGCTTCGGCCAGCTTGTCATAGTCGAGGCCGAGCTCTCCGAAAGCGGCTAGAAGGTGGGGCTCTTCGTTCAAGGTCGTCGTGATGCTGTCAGACAGGCCCTTGTAGTATTCTTCTCCGCCCTCATCAGCTTCGACCGCATGGTATGGGTGAACACCGATTGTGACCCTGCACTGCTCGGGTCGTTTTCGCGCTATGCCGAGATTGAAAGACGCGTCGGATGCGTACATGCCTGTCAGCATGACTTTCTCTACCCCGGCAGCTAATGCGCGGTCGAGCACGGCATCGAAGTCTGGCTCATGGTATTGCTTGCCGCGATAGGTGCCGGCGAACTCTTTGGCAGTTGCGGTTACGGCGACCTGGATACATCGACGTGTTGGTTCAGCCAAGTCGCGTCAACACGGGAGTGGGTGAGCGCGTACGTCTGCGTACCGGAGTTTCGTAGATGGAGCGGAGGGAGCGTCACTGGGAAACCCTTCTAGTAGCATTGGTATTGACATCATGTGTGAGAATGGAGCAATGTGATGTGTGTAGCGGCGGAGGCGATGCGAGTTCGCGAGGTGCGTCACCTTCGGAAGCAACACTTCCGATCTCGGAATGTCGAAGTGGAGCGACTATCTTGGCTCTAGATCGCCGGCCTACTGAGACAACAGACATCACACTCGAAGCATTTCTCATCAATCCGACGCTTTTCGCGAAGTCATTTTTACCGCAGCTCACGTTTCCGCTCTCCCACTCGTATTCAATTGCCAATAGACGTGGCAACCCTTGTAACAGCCCAGAAGGCGTCGTTGGGCTGAGGGCAAATAGACTGATCTTTCCTATTGTCAGCTTCACTAAAAGTAAGGAACGATGGAATCTGCAGACTATCTTCACATGGACAATGATCTTGGCTCTGTGACATCCCATGCGTTCCTCGTTTGCGGGGTACATCAGCTCGCGACTGCCCCTCTACCGCGCCACAGACATGCGCTTCTCCTTACATATCCAATCGATCGATTGACTTCCCCTTTCGTCAACCCCGCACCCCAAAGCTTTTCCACATACAAAAACTCTACCGGGGTGTTATTTCACGCTATAGCGTTTGATACACGTATCAGTCCAGTCACTATTGATCGCATATCATCACAGGATCATCATACCTGACACAGCCGCGCAAAAGCTCTGTATCATGCCTGTGAACAACACTAGCGATGCGTGGGCATGTGCTGACGAGATGCCGACTGATTCTCTGACACTACCGCAGGTTAGTGGACCCTACAAGGTAGACAGGCAAGTTATAGAAGGTAATACTGGCATGACAAGTTTTCATATCATACTCACTCTGTACAAGCCTTTCCCATCGCCGGAACTGAGGTCATTAACGCCTTCAACTACTACAAATCGCTATGGGGCAAAACCGCCAAGATCGTTGTGCGACTGCCTACAGGAGAGACCGACAACTACTTCCTAAAGGCATAGCTCTTTGCAAAAGAAATCTCGGAAAGTGGTTGCTAATGAATTCCAGGTCGTATCTCTGGGATCAGTGGGAAGGCAGATGTGCGAAGGCGAATACGAATCGCTCAAAGCAATCTACGCGGTCTCGCCTTCATTTGTCCCACGACCCTACGCCTGGGGAGAAATTGAAGAGAACGGGTCAACGGCCCATTTCCTTCTTACGGCGTTTCGAGACATAGAAAAGCAGGTATGGGTATTGCGGTTCTCAAGCATGTCCAAATGCTGATGCGAACAGCCTGCAGATCCGGTCAGACTGGCTAAAGGACTAGCGGATATGCATCTACGATCTGTATCCCCAACTGGTAGATTCGGCTTCCATCCCTCGACGTGCCATGGGCGAATAACTCAGGCTGTCGATACATGGGAAGATTCCTGGTGTGCTCTATTCAGTCAGCATCTAGGTCATGTCATGGACCTGGCGAAGCCAATCCTCAATTGGCCAGCATTCGACGCAGTGTGCGATCTCACCCTCCGGAATGTAGTGCCACGTCTACTGTTACCTCTCCAAGAAGAAGGCCGGATTCTGAAACCATGCCTGATCCACGGCGATTGCTGGGATGGTAACACGGCGATCGACGCCAAGACTGGCGAGGCTTTCGTTTTCGATGTGGCTTCCTTCTACGGGCACAACGAGTACGATATTGGCAATTGGAGAGCACCGCGCCATCGCGTGAGTAGCAAGGCCTATATCGACAACTACAAATGTCATTTCCCAGTATCCGAACCTGTCGAAGACTGGGACGCACGGAATCGTCTGTATTCGTTGACCTTCAACATCGGTAATGCGATGTATGTCCCCGAGTCACAGCAGCGCCAAGTCGTATTCGATGATATGAGTACCCTGTGCCAGGTCTTCTGCCCGGACGATCTGCAAGCCACGATGGAGAAGCTCTCGGAACACGATACGGTCGGCAGGGAGCCGCAGAATCATTGAAGCACGACAGTTGACGAGAATTGCGATGAGGTAGAGGCTGGCGCGCAGAAAAGAGGCTGAGACCTCGGGAAGCTGCTACTTTGACGGAGATCTTGCCGCGCACTCGCAAGCTCGTTGGTACGCGTTTCCTTTGCCGGGAAATCTTGATTGTGAGCGAGTTCGTCGCATCGAAATAAACGTGGGCGTATGTTAACGGCGCGTCCTTACATTTGATGAAAACCTTGGGATGACTGATGGCTGATGGCTGACAGTCCACGGGCTGCGACAAAGCGTCGGCAGCTCTGTGCCCGGCGGGGCTGCTACGTAGCTTCCAATGCTGACTAAGCAGGCCCCTTTACTTTGTCGCCCGCCTTGTGATGTCCACTCCTCATCAACAACAATCATTTGCACTGATTCTATAATCAGATGAGTGTTGATACGAGCGTTGCATGGTTTCTGTGAAGTAAAGTAACCATGCCTCGCCATGTCTGTAGATGCGCACAAAAGCGATCGCATCTAACTCATTGCGCAACACTGATACCATACGCGGCGTACGGAAAGTCATCGAGGCTTATCCTCAGCTCCGCCATACCATCGTCCGACATGAGTCGACCGTCTTCAGCAGTGACAGGGCTTCTCGGATCTCCCTCCACTGGCATTCCATACTCAGGCACAGTACCATCTTCCTCCGTCCTTCCCATAAGAACATCCATCTCGCGCCCTTTGCAAACCTCCGCAAGCCCGGGATGTGGCACCCAAACTACTCGCATACCCGCCCTTCTCGCTGCCTCCACACCTGCGATCGAGTCTTCAAACACTAAGCACTCTGCAGGCTCCAAGGCACGCTCACCACGTGCTGTCTCAGCGGCATTCAATCTCTTCAAAGCGAGGAGAAAGATATCAGGCTCTGGCTTCTTCCTGCTATCAGACATCTCCGGATCATCGCCGAAGACATGGAATGCTGGATCGTCAAACGCCGCATTGATAGCGGGTATATGCGACGTCTTTAGTGCGAACTTTTGCTGACCAGCTGAACTAGCTAACGAAAGCAGCACAGGCGGTGATGTCTTGGCTTTCATGGTTGAGAGAAGAGTTTCAACACCTGGAAGCACCTTACTGTTTTCGAAGAGATGTGTAAACCCTTTTTCTTTCGCAGACCATTCAGCTGGCGTGAGGGGTACCTGTGCCCAGTCTAGTAAACGCTTGGTACCCTGTACTAAGCATTAGCATGCCGGGGCGATATGATAGGGCTGAGCAACAAATACCTTTATGCCTCTGCTTTGCTGCGTCGCCTTGATCGCCCATGGGTAATCTGGTCTTCCGTACTCGCGCAGTATGTTGTTGTAGATGTCTGTGTAGATGTCTTCTGAGTTGATGAGCGTGCCGTCTACATCGAAGATGCAGGCACGTACGGGCGGTAGCGAAGCCATGAGATCTACAGCTGATCGAGCGCGATCTGGGCTTTCTCTCTTGGCTTCAGTCGTGCAAGATGATCTGCTCCAAGGCTGGGCAGCTGAAGGACCCTGAACTGCGGACCTGCGCATTTACCCCGCGGTCACTAACCGTATCGGGACTAGTCGCCACACAGGATGCCCAGGTGGGAAGTGGCTACGCTTGACGGCATCGTTCAAGATGCGCCTTCTATCTCTAATACTGCTAGCAAGTGGCTTACAACTTATACGACATCTCCGACTGGGGATCAATTCATGGCAGCTGACTACCACGCCTAGTCGTAGTACTTCCAGTCTAGTAGACTCTTACACGGGCCGCTCTAGTCTATCTTTCGCATCTGCCCCTCATCTCTTGCACAGCCCTCAGCTAGAGGTACATCGTCACACCAATGCGCTACAACATATTCGGCTGCAGTAACCGAGTATCAAGGTCGGCGAGGAGAATTCATTTCGTGGCGGAGTTTGGAGTTCGCGAATCCTCTGCCCTCGGCTTGCCAGCAAAGTCCACCTGAGGTGAGCATTCAATACACTACGATGGCGCCTCAGAATTCAGCCAATATCTCGTTGACACGGCGATACCAATAACGAGCGATAGCAATACCAGCTCGCACGAACTTGCAGTTGCTTCAGCTGTCGATACACTAGTTCACCAATCCTGTCTACACCCTCAGACTTGCAAGTTTCCTAATTCAGATCTACATACTTTGATATATGCCAAGGGTACAGCCGCACATGTATCGATTCTCTGCAGTCAGCTACACTTCTCCAATGAGGACTATCGGACATGCTCGACACTGCGTTCAGCTACTACTACGTCCCGAGGTCTATGTCAGCCCAACGGGACATCAGTATCTGCGAATGTAAGCTATCCTGCTTTCGAACTGTGTTGAACTACCGCTTCATCCCACTCTCCACTCCGACTACATGTCTGCAGATACGAAATGCCAATACACCGAAGCGGGCATTCTGCATACATCCCACCTCCTCTTCACAGCTTAGGTCGCGATAGAAGCAACACCCCACTCATGCCAACACCGCCTTATGAGTGACATACAAGCGCGCATGACTCAGCTCCTGCCCATCACATGCCACGCAACCCACCACAAGGCTGACAACTAGGTACATGGTGGCTTGCAGGGCGACAGGAAGCAGCAAGTGCACATCTTGACATCGCCAAAATCTCCACCTAACACTTGGGCCAGACTGCCGTCGAACCCACACCCCACCGGTGTAAATACCTGAACTAACAATGTGAGAATATGGCTAGACTCGGGCGACGGCAGCATATCTTGTTCGCAGGATTTTCTTGGATGTTCCCCACACGGCCCGGGGTCGATCAGCCATGGGGCGCCCACTTTGGAGTTGCTTCATCTTACGAACGGGAAGCTTGGGGGCGGATATCGTGGTGATTGGGCTTGGCAGTTCTTGTGGCATTGCGCAGACTAGAGAGTACCGTAGCTTGACGAGCAATACTGTCGCATTGGGCTGCGAACACGTTCCTCCAGGGTACAAGACCACGTATAACAATGTCGACGATGTAACAAAGCGATTGTGCGAGGTTGCTGCAGCTAGACCAGAACACAATAATACTGATACGGTGTTGTAGTGTAGGCGCGGCATAAGAGCGGCAAAGCAGCCTGGTGTCATGTACGGAGCACTATTCTTAGCGGCGCACTCATCCCCGGGCTCGTATCGCACATCGCTGCATCGTGAGGCTAGGATCGGGGGGTGTGTAGGGCTACGGACCTCTCTCCGTATCGTCCCGCTGGTTTAGGCGCGCCATGTGCTCTCTGCCCAGCGACACGGTCGGCCAACGACGGGCCATGTGCAACGGGCGACATGGCTGTTAGACCCTCCTTTCCTCGTTTTCTCGCACAGACTAGTTCGCAAGGCCGCCAGCAAGCATGGCGCCCGATTTAAACGAAATCAATAGGAGAATTGCTGAGAAAATAAATTAACGCTGCGTCTGTCATGCGTGTGCTGATTGGGTCGTGATAAGAGCCTTTACTTATCCGGTAATACCAAGCAGCGGGACACCTGCCTAAGCGAGTACTAACTTGATAGCGGTGCCGTATGTTGGACCTGTTTTTTTTCTTGCCTGTCAGCCGCAATGTCTACATGTCGACTATTGAAATGTTGCAGCTCGCGTGCTGACACGTGCAGACAAAGAGGCGCCGTACGCATGCAGCCCCGGCTGTCGCCAATGTACCTACCGGACTTGGAAGACAATGCGGCTGCGATGTGGGCGTCGGTGTGATCAGGCGCGGTTAGGGCTTGGGCTGGGAGGCGGTCGAGGTGTTAGGAATACTAGACGCTTATATACATGGTCTTGCCTGGGATGCGAATACGATACCCAGGGTGTTGTTAAACAGCCGGTGCGTCCTTCTTGCACTCGGAACTTTTGTCGATTCAATATACTTTTGTCGCTCGTTTGACACTTTCCCATTGCGCCACACATGGCGCAACTTTATGCCCTGCGGCGGCTGCCATTTAGCCTGCATCTCCTGGTACTGTCCCTGGTTTGCTCCGCTAGCGCGCAGAGTTCAGCGGCGCCAGAACTCCCTAGCAATACCACAACTCCGGAACCGAAGAGAGGATGGTATTCGGAAGGATGTTACACGGATAACGTCGGTGGCCGGTCGCTCTCCGTGGGAATGGGAGTGACTGGTGGTATGACCAACGACAAGTGCAAGGCTGCATGCCGAGCTGGAGGTTTCGTCCTGGCTGGTACTGAGTATGCCGGCGAGTGTTTCTGTGACAACCAAATTCGAGCCAATGGCGGCCCCGCGCCTGACGGCGAGAAGGGGTGCAACATGGCATGCAATGGCAACCAGACAGAGATGTGCGGCGGTCCCGATCGCTTGACATTCTTCCGTTTCTACACCGGTGGTGAATCCTCGACCTCGGCCACAGCTACACCAACCGCTTCTGCAACAGCATCTGCTACTGGAGCTTCCAGCGCAGCGCCCATTGCTACTGGGCTCCCAGAAGGCTTCGAGTACAAAGGCTGCTATGTCGATGGACCCGGATTCCGCATCGTCAACTACCAACAACCCGATGATCAGAAGATGACCGTTGCGTCATGCACCAGTATATGCGCGAAAGCTGGCTATGAGATTGCAGCCATGGAGTACAGCTACCAATGCTTTTGTGACAATGCTGTTAGTATAATCCAAACATCCAGATTCTTCCATCGCTAATCCATGTAGGTGAGAATGGGCGGCAAGCCTGCTTCTTCCGAGTCGGAGTGCAACACAAAGTGTGCTGGTAACCAAGCCGAGACGTGCGGAGGTCCTAACCGAATGAGCATTTACTCAAGCCAAGATCCCTTGAAAGTCGTCAAAGTTCCAACGCCCACCCAGAACGTGAGCGACTGGCAATACCAAGGATGTATCACCGACATCGGCAACCAGGTCTTCCCGCACAAGCTGTTGAACCAGACTGGTAACTCACCGGAGTGGTGTCTGAGTCGATGCCAAGCCTTCGGTTACATGGCCGCCGGAATGGAGTACGGAGAAGAGTGCTACTGCGGTGACCTCGATGGTATCGAGAAGATTGGCTCGAAGCCCGCCCCAGAGTCTGAATGTAGCATTGCTTGCCCCGGTGACCCTGAAGCGCTCTGCGGCGCAGGCAACCGACTCAGCTGGTACAAGTGGGAGGGTGACCCATTGTACGTATGGGAATACCCTAAAGGCACCGCGGCGGGACGCTACGAGTTCTTGGTCGGCGGTCCCATCATTCCTCTGATCGCACAGCCTGGTGTCAACGGCAAGGTCTCCTTCCTCGAGAAGCACGGCACAGGCGAGCCGAACACCACCGGTGCATACGAATTCGACCCTTCGATTGGTGGCGACATCTTCCACGCCTTCCGTGAGCTGACCGGCATCAAGACGGACATCTTCTGTGCTGCTGGTCTGACTCTGCCGGATCGCGCCGGCCGACAGATCAACATTGGTGGATGGTCGACAGATTCCCTGTTCGGCGTCCGCATCTACTGGCCAGACGGTTCGGCCGGTGTCAACGGTACCAACAACTGGCAGGAAGATGTTAACACCGTCAAGCTCCAAAGGGGTCGCTGGTACCCGACAGGAATGGTCATGGCTAATGGCTCGATGCTCATCGTCGGCGGACAAGATGGCTCGAACGGCCCGCCAGTGCCAAACATGGAGATCTTGCCCACGGTCGGACCTGTGTATGAAGCGCAGTACCTGAGAGATACCGACCCATACAATCTGTACCCGTTCTTGGTCGTGCTACCATCTGGTGGTATCTTCATCCAGTACTACAACGAAGCACGCATCCTTGATGAACGCAGCTTGGACACGGTCAAGATCCTGCCAAAGGTACCGGCTGCCGTCAACGATGCTACAGGAGGCCGCACATATCCCTTTGAGGGTACTCAAGTCCTTCTTCCGCAGTACTACCCCTACAGTGCGCCGTTGGAGGTCCTCATTTGCGGTGGCGCATCAGCCCAGCCAAACGTGGGACTTGACAACTGTGTCAGCATCGAACCAGATACTGCCAATGCCCAATGGAGTCTCGAGAGGATGCCTTCTCGACGTGTCATATCCTGCATGGCAACGCTACCAGATGGCACTTACCTGATCTTGAACGGAGCTGAGATTGGACAGGCAGGCTTTGGGCTTGCAGATCAGGCGAACTTGAATGCTGTCTTGTACGATTCCAGGAAGCCACGAGGCAAGCGCATGAGTGTCATGGCCAACACTACCATCGCACGTATGTACCACTCCGAAGCTGTCATCATGGATGACGGAAGAGTACTGGTCTCGGGCTCCGACCCGCAAGATCAGGGTAAGCATCCTCAGGAGCACCGTCTGGAGGTCTTCCTTCCGCCTTATCTGCTCTCCGGCGCAGCGCAGCCTACTTTCGACTTGCCACAAGTTGATTGGATCTGGGAGGCAGACTACTCGTTCACTGTGACTTCATCCTCCGGTGGCGCGATCAAGGTGTCGCTGCTTGGTTCCGAGTCCAGTACCCATGGAAGTTCGATGGGCGCACGTATCTTGTTCCCAAGCGTGTCTTGCTCAGGCCGGTCATGCACCGTCAAGGCGCCGAAGGGCCCATACATCGCTCCCGTGGGCTGGTACAGGATGTTTGTTCTGGATGGACCTACACCCTCGCATGCGAAGTGGGTTCGTATTGGTGGCGATCCGGCTTCTCTGGGTAACTGGCCCGATGAGGCTGCCTTCCAACCATTGCCAGGTGTTGGACCTGTCGGAGGGGTCTCGACCTTGAGCGCGAACGCGACTAAGCCAAGGTCCATCTCAACAGCGCCTCGCAGCTTCCAGGGCTGAGCAAAAATTCAACGAAGTTTTGAGGAATCCAATGTCTATTTGTTAATTTGTCAGCTCGAGCAACAATACTCACGCACTGCGACCCAGTACATATTGAAATGACGGCCTTGGTAGAATTCTTAAAGTCTAATGTACACGTGTTGTTAAATCTGCATGTGACCAACATTGAGGTTTAGCGGTGATGCTGTGTTGGACATGGTCAGTGTGGATGAGACTCACTGTTTGATCCCATCTACTTCGGCGCAACGCTGCTCAAACCCCCTCTCTCATGCCTTCGTCCAACCATCGGCTGCTGAACGGCTTGCTCGTGATCATATTCTGTGCGCCTCATCCAAACCCATCATTCCATCTCCTCATCTTCATCTTCACTACTGGGGAAGCTCCACTCACTCGACTGATAATAGTCATAGTCCTCGTCAGACTCTGCTATGCTCATCGCCTTTGTACCGTATGTTCGAGCGCTGAACGCAGAGTAAGCAGATCTCTTGGGCGATGGTGATCTTGATCGCCGGCGTTTGACGGCCTGGATATAGCTTACACTACTGAGATTGACGCGCGGTGTGTCGGGAACCGGAGATGGTGAGCGGGGGCGCTTTGTGGTTGTTTTGGGCACGAGGGCTTGGGGCAGTACCTCATCATCGCCTGTAAGATCGATCACCATGTGACCGTCCATGGGCTCAGGGTCGTCCTGGGAAGTCGCTGGTGGAAGATGCTTTGGACCCTGATATCTTCGGTGAATGCGGTCGCGGACTTCTTCCTCCATGTCTCGCGCTTTGGCACGCTTAGGAGGGTGCTCTGGCATGTCCGCTGTCATGAGAGCCCATCGCTCGAGATGGCTGGCTGATCCGGAAACACCATCTGGAGCTATCTGGTCGTCGTCCTTCTGTTTCTCATCTAGCCACTTGCTCACTTTGGGCGCTCTGTAGTCGCGGTTCTGTTGCCGAGGGCGCCAGCTGTTTTGATGATGTTGCGACATGGCAAGTGCCGGGTTGGTGACGTGAAGACGCGTAGGCAGGCTCAACCCCAAACTCGAAATAGATTAGTCTCGATCCGATCGGATAGCGATGGATGAATTGGATCCAGCTGTCGGCGGAGTGAGTTGTGGAGTGGCAGGCAGAGTCCGCGCAGACCGACCCGGATGCCGAGGAAGACGCGTCTCGGATGTCGTGTTGAGAATCGCGACCTGTACGGGCTCAGAAGGGGAAGCTGCGACCCACGCTACGGCGATTTTTCTCCCTGGAACCTGGTGATTTGATGCAATAGCGACAATGCGAAGTCGATTAGCGACGGGAAATGCCTAACGCTCTTGCAGCGGTTGAAGGGCCGCCGTTGATCGGCGCCCCTTGCGGGTGGAGACGCGAGCGCGACTTCTTGGCGCTGATTCGCCGGCAATCTGCTGTCTTCCAACTACAAACCTCACCATACTGATGATTGTGTCTCTAAAAACACCATCTTCAACATAGAAGCCATCGTCACATGCTGGATTCGGCTCGATGCGACATGCAGCAGCCACTGACGACGTCGGCTAATCGCAGCCGGCCACCAACACGGGGATTACGCCCGGCAGCCCGTCCTGCACCACACCCACCGCTCAAGGCTCATGTCCGATGCTACAGTCGTATCTGGCCGCATCAGTTTGCAGCGGAATCCAGTCACATGTTTGCGCATGCAATCAACTAAACACTCAAAATCCCCAGAACACTCTCGCGGATGTTGGTCTTCGGAGGCGTCTATGGATAGCGCGGCCATTGTACGCTCGGGGTACGCCGACACCGCCTTCGCCAACTCCGACGGGGTAACTCCAAGGAATATGCACGCCATCCCACGTGCCATTCCTGCAAGATACTCCATGAATAAGACGCGGCACATGGCAAGGCCTGGGAACTTCCGTCCGACGACACATCCACCGGATGCGATTGGCCGGGGCGCCTGAAAAACGCGAACCTAACAACGCAGCATTGATCGTCTGCGCTTGGGTTACCAATGAGCTGGATACCGCACAATCCATCTAAAGCGCCGTTAGGAAGCCCAAGGCCACCAGTATGACCGCTCCGCCGTGCCCCTCTCCACCCCAGAAAAGACAAAATCAACATGTCAGCCTCGAGCAGCTCGACAGACACTAACGGGAGCGCCCATGATGATTCTACTGCTGAAGGGGCTAGCAGCTCCGGTCCGTCGCTCGAAATCGACGTGCGTTCCCTGTTCCAAAGCTTGGCTGTATTAGCTCGCCCGACTGACAGCTGTCACAATAGAGTGAAGATACAGAAGGGCAGAGCGACGAGCGCGACTCCAACTTTGGCGATTCTGCCTACGGTGACAATCAGTCGTCTTACACCATGTCGGCGACGTCTTCGGTTTTCAACTTTCGCTACGAGAACGGCAGACGGTATCACGCGTATGCCGAGGGACAGTACCCTGTACCCAATGATGAGGTGTGCAACTATCGGTGGGAGTAGCATGACTGTTGCTGATGCCGACACTAGGTGGAAGCGGACCGATTGGATCTACAGCACCACGCCTTCAGACTCACACTCGACGGCAAACTTTATCGAGCGCCTATCCCCAAAGATGTGCAAAATGTGCTCGACGTGGGATGTGGAACTGGCATCTGGTCCATTGAGTTCGCTGATGAGCATCCGTCCGCTCGCGTCCTTGGCACGGATCTGAGCCCTATACAACCCGCTCAAGTGCCTCCAAACTGTGAATTCCTAATCGATGACTGCGAGCAAGACTGGATCTTTCACGATCAGTTCGATTATATCCATACGCGGGCCATGGTCGCAGCCATCAAGGACTGGGACCGTTTCTTCGCGCAGGCGTACGCCAACCTCAAGCCAGGAGGCTATCTCGAATGCCAAGACCTTGCCTTTCCCATTAGATGCATGGACCCTGACGTAACTGCTGAGAACTCGCCGCTCATCCGCTGGTCAGAGTACTTCCTCGATGCCGCTAAGAAGATTGGTCTCGATGGCACCAGTCCAAGACACTTCACGCCGCAGATTCGTAATGCCGGCTTCAAAAGTATTAACTACAAGAACTACAAGTGGCCTGTAGGGAAGTGGGCAAAAGGCGCGAGGTTCAAGCTGCTGGGTCGCTTTGTATATGAAGATCTAATGGACTGGCTACCGAGTAGTTCACTAGGGCTCTTCACCCGCGTGCTAAAGTGGTCGAGAGAGGAAGTGGAAGTCTTCCTATCGGAGTGCAGAGCGGAGGCCAAGAGGAAAGACCGGCATTTTTATGCTGATGTGTAAGTGGACATCACCATTATGTTATGAAGCGAGATTTGCTAATTACGTAGATTCTTCTATCATGCCCGCAAACCCGAAGGCGCAAACGCTTCCAGCTCAGCAGAAGATGACGTGGAATGGGAGGAGTCGATAGACCGAGACGAAGAAGATGAACCCCACCATGCAAGAACGCCATCAACAAACACAACCTCTACCCCACCAGTCCCTCTCCCAACCACAACCGACGCGACACAAGCTACAGTCGACCAATTGGTCGCTGTTGCTGCCAAAGCAGACAGTCCCCCAAGGACCGACGTCGCTATTTCAACTCCTCAAACTCCAATGCGGTAGTGTATATAATGAATACATCTACTTTCCAAACCCCCAAATGTATGCCCATCGACCACCCTGGCACCCACATCCTCTATCTCATCGTTGTAGTCATGACCTTGGTGACCTTTGTAGTCGTATGCGTGACCGTGATGACCTCGACCGTCTCTACAATCTGTGTTGTAGTCGCCGCGCTCTGGACCACCGCCACATTCTGTGTGGTGTTGCCGGCCTGGGTTGTCGCCGTTGTCTCCGTCACCTCCGTGTTCGTGAGGACCGCGTTGGGGTCCATGGTCGCCTGGCTGGGTGGTGCGAGGCGGACGGAGGTGGTGTGGGGGGTATGTAGGTGGTGGGGTGAGTTGCGGAGATGGGGAGAGGAGCGGCGGAGGTGGTATGTAGGTTTGTGGGTGGCTTGAGGAGGACGTGTGTGCGTGACTGGGGGTTGATGTAGGCAAGATGGTGTGGTGTGTGCTGGCGCTGGCGCTGGTGTGGAGGGGATGTCGGTGGTGGAGAGGGTGAGGGAGAAGAGGAATTTGCGACTCGCTAAGACAACAATATTGCAAAAAAGATGAGATGGAGCACGCGCCTCTACTCCTAGCAGACTCTTCTCTGCTATTGTCGTCTTCACTCAGACCTAGCAGGAGAAGGGGAGATGTCCTTACACATGGAGCTTAGGCCGCCGCCACCGCCGCGATATGCAAACTACCAAAAACCTGAGACCCTTCAAACAGCAAAAAAGAATGTCCATCTCAAATAGCGTAGTATCGTGTTATGTGCCGAAGGAGAAGATGTAACTTACGTCGTGATGTCCCCCGATTCCTCCACTGCAAGTTAGCGTACTCTGTCGCTGGTTAGCATCACACTTCTGTGACCGGGGATAGGCCCCGAAATCCAAAGACCGGTGAGGTTAGGCCGGTGGGGGAGCTGGGAAGATGTCGTTAGCGTGATTCGAACACGAGCGAGTTGAGCGGTGTTGGAGGGAGTGGAGTGGACCACTACGCTATTTTCTTGGACTTTGATGGGATGATGGCTGGAATACGGCGGTTATGTAGCGAAGGGACTTCTGGTTCTCCTCTTCAAGAGATTTGGGCTGAACTTGATGGTGAGGAGAGGGGGTGGCTCCCAGCAGTTACGCGGCGTGTAGGCAGGAGCGGAGGTTTTGTTGTTGTGCGGCGATGACGCGTTTGCTCCTTTTGCGGGGGAGCAACAGCATTACGCTCAGGGAGGCAGCGTGTATGTGTAGCTTCGGCAGCGTGTGAATACCTTCTGCACAAAAAGACATAAAGCAGCGAGTGTGCTGCAGGATAGAATGCAATGCGAAGATACGAGCGGGTGAAGGGCTCTAAAGCATGTTAAGACTTTACTACCAACTATGTAGTAAGGCTACGTCACATTCTGGATAACACATTAGCAAAAAAAGAATATCAAGTCATCCAGATCGAACAGCCGAAGCGGTCAATTGGAAGGGAATGTTGACTTACCAAGTCGTGTGGTACGCAGCCAGCCAAGTGCCGCCGAAGCGAGCCAGATAGGGTTTTGTGATTTTCTAAGGAAATGAATAAGCCCTATAGCGGCCGCAGGAAATCGCAAGAAAAGAATAAAGCAAGAAAGGATAGCAGGTAGTGATACTATTCGAACTCGTTAGCTTTTGTGTCCCTCTTGAGGTGAGAGTGCGATTGACCGCCGGGCTATTTGATCTGGATGACTTGATGGAAGAATACAACTCCAGGTCCCTTTATATCTCCGGTCGACGATACTTGCATCCCCGAGAAGAGGATCAGAATTTGGGAAAAATCGACATGATCCTGGTGTTGAGTATCGCCTTGGTGAAGCTGGCGGTGATGGTGGTGTGGGCCCTGGTGGTGAGGGCGCAATCCAGAGCGGGGGCGGTACCGTGGTGACGACGACCGTCAAAGAGTGCGGCGCCTTAACATGTCGGATCGGAAAGGAGAGGAGACTTGAGATGAACATATAGAATAAGGGTGACGTGGATGAGGAGTAGCATCGTGCTGGAAGTGACAAAGGGAAACATTCACGAAAGACGTAGGAACGAATGAAATGATCTGACCCATGTCAGCGCATCATGGACGCCAGGAGATCCGGACAAGATGGAGGTCAGTTTGCAAGAGCTGCAGAAGCTATGCCATCCTCAATGCAGGAGATGTGCGGTCCTGAACGACATCCAAGGAAGCCGTGTCAAGCCCACGATGCGGGGTCATCAGGGGCAAAATGCGTGAGATCAGATGGCAAGCAGTAATACCCTCCGCATCGATGATGGAAGCGATGCAGGAAGAATACGTAGGCCTCGTAGATACCTAGGAGGTGGTGGTAGCAGAGACTGCCATCGCAGCCTTGAGGTTTGACGTTGGGAAGATTGGGGCCACTCGGCGGTGCTTGCTAGTTCGGGCATGCCGTGGGGCCTTTGGCGGCTTCAACGCCTCGCCAACTTCATGTCCACAACACCAACATCGACCCAATCGTCATGGCGCCATCGAGGGGTCTGAGCATATCGCAAGCTCAGCGCGTCTGCTCACGACATGAATGCACGAGTCGCAATCCGTATGCGGCTCCTCGCAGCTTCCGCACGCTTTCGACAGGCTGGACAATATATGCCCCGAACGGTTTGCTCCTCCCCGGACGACAAGACGCCCTGCGTAGCTCTTGGAGAAGCTCAGCGATTCCATATACGACATGGGATACGGTTCGACAATACTCGTCCTTCACGGAGAAGCTCGCCGACCCCGCCAACAAGCTGCAGTGCTATGTGTCCCGCAGCAGCGACCCGTACCTCAACCTCTCCATCGAAGACCACATCCTGCGCAAGAGCCCCGCCGACAGCACTGTTCTGTTTCTCTATGTGAACAGGCCGTGCGTCGTCATCGGGCGGAACCAGAACCCGTGGACGGAGGTCAATCTGGACATCCTCAACGCCGCCCGCGGGGCCCACGACGCCAAAGACAGCGAGCCACCGGGCATCGGTACGGTCGACCTTGTGCGCCGCCGCTCCGGAGGAGGTACAGTCTTCCATGACGAGGGCAACCTCAATTGGAGCATCACATGTCCCCGCGGCGACTTCACACGCGACTTGCACGCCGAGATGGTTGTCCGCGCCTTGCGCAAGCTGGGCATCGAGCGCGCCAGAGTCAACGAGCGACACGACATCGTTCTCGACCAAGGGCACGAGAGGCACACGGCCGACCCTGAAGACACGCATCGCACGCCCTACACGACCGACGAAGGCGGACCACGACCGCTGAAGGTCTCCGGCTCAGCATACAAGCTGACACGTCAACGCGCCTTGCACCATGCGACGACGCTGCTGAGTTCGCCGAACCTGCACATTATACCCCACTACTTGCGATCTCCCGCGAAGAGCGTCATACAAGCCCAGGGTGTCGAGAGTGTCAGCTCGCCTGTGTCCAACATCGGTCTTGACGTGTCAGCATTCCAGGAACGTCTGCAAGAGGAGTTTGCGTCAATGTATGCTGAGCTGGGAACCCCAAGCATCGTGCAGACTGTCGGCGAAGAGCACTTGAACATCCCCGATATCCAGAAAGGCTACGACGAGCTACAGGTACACACGTAGCCCTTGATTATTTCGCTGTCGATGCTAACGTCCATAGACTGATGATTGGATGTGGTCGCAAACCCCTGCCTTCAGCCTCGTGCTCGACCCCAAGGACGACATCGGCCTCCAGATGAAAGTGCATCATGGTGTCATCAAGAGCTTGGATTTTGAGGACTCCAGCCTTCCGCGAGATAGTCAAATAAGACTTCAGGCTGCGCTGGTCGGTATGAAGTTGCAGAATGTTTGGGCCTCAATGAACTTCGTGATGATGAGCGAACACAGCCAGGACGATCGAGTCGTGGCTGCGGCAAAGCGACTGAGGCAGCTCTTGCCTGTACCTGAACTATTCAGGCGTTGAAGCTTGACGTTAACAATCTGGCCTGACAAGACGGCTCATGCGTTGTCTGAAGAGTCGGGATGACCACCAAAGTTGTAAGAGTTGGCCATCATTGGTACGACAACCCTGGATACTCCACTTGGTCGCTTCCTGCAATCTGGAGAAGATACACCCGTATGAAAGAGCAGATATGAACCCAACTCTTGACTTCCTGTCGTGCTTGCATTGCGCAAGCGTCTATCTTTCCGTCGTCTAAGGAGCCGTCCACGCCGAGAGCCCGATATGTTGCGCCCCTTGTATCGCAGCCCATGCCCGCATGTTGTGGTGCGAAGCAGCATCGTGGCCCATCCGGATGTATGAGGAGTTGTTCGTCGCTATGGCCGTCGTCGCTGTTGTGTCGTCGCGCAAATCCGCAAGATGTGAAGTATCCCGGCCACAGGTATAGCAGAGCGGTCTCGCCATCGGAGGCTTTGTCTTGTCGGACCCGGCGCTGTGTGCTTGAGGACATGCGACGGTTCGCTGAATCTGTCTGTCTTCACGGTAAGTGTCGCCATCAGGTGAGTGATGCCTTCGAATGAGATTGCCATCGTGCACATCAAGAGGCAAGCTTGCCTGTATGGCTCTGGCTCTTCGCGACGCCGTTGCATGCGCGGATGCATCGGTAAAGGTGTGCGGCTGGTAGTACCAACGCCGCCAGATTCGAGGTAGTCATCAGCGGAGCAGTAACATGCATCGCCGAGGCGGATCCATACGATGCCGCTTGTAGAAGTAACTCTCCTGTCGTTGGAGGGGCGGTCGCGGAGCTCTTTGTCCGTGTCGATTCTTTGTCCTCGACGGAAGAACTCTCCGCGCTTCGAGGCAGCCCCTCAGTCCCATCGCCGGTACAATCTTAGGACCGAGAGCTCTATCTGTGTGATGGTAGGTATGGATGAGGGCCACGTCGCGCTGCCTGTCCGCCTTCGTGGTCTCAATCGGAGCTGCGGGGGTCATGGAACTGGGAGACGGCCGGAGGTCTCGAAGAACGTAGGCAGTTGGTTCTCCGCCGCGGGGTAATTCCAAACTGCGAAGCTGTTCTGAGCGACATCGAGTCTGCCTGTAGTCAATGGGGGTAAGGTGAGTGTCTTCATGGTGTTGGTTGGGGGTCTTACTGTGGGCTGCAGCTGGGCCTTCGGCGGCGGAGAAAGCGGCCTTGAGGCGGCTATCCTCAAGGCCACCCTCGAGCCTCGCCGGCCTCCGCAAGGAGCGCCAGCGGCTGCATTTAGGAGTTGAAGATGGAAGAGGCCATGATTCCCGTGGTCGCCAGGAGGTCGCCGATGCCAGGTTCGACAGAGAAAGTGGTCTTGGAGCGGCCCACGACCCTCGTCCCCCGCCACAAGTTGCGCCAGCAGCTGCATGTATGGAATGAGAACGTAAGAGGCCGTGATTCTCGGGAGCACCAGGAGGTCGCCAATGTCAGCTTCATCGTAGAGAGCTCCGTGTGAGGTAGGCCTGCAGGTTAGCACGAGCTTCTGCGGCGATGTGCAAAGCGATAGAACAGCCCCAGGGGACCACATGAGCTGGGCATGTGTCTTCCCGTAGCGGTAGAACGACGTGAGTATCGACAGGGAGGGTTGTGGGTGCAGTGCATTTGTGAATCTGGTGTTGAGTATGTCCGAGCATTGGGGGGGGGCTCCCAGTCCGCCGCACTAGCGCCAAATCACCAAACCAGCACATCAATTAAGGCATTTCAGCTCATAGGTTTGCAAGTCTCCAAAGGTCCAAGCTTACTAAAGCCCACATGGCATCTACAGTCACCTTGTATTGGAAATTTGGTAGCTACAGCCATGCTTGCTATTTCAGCTCCGTTTGGCAAACTCTCACCATCACCACCACCACCACCATACACACCATACCCACAACACAACAACAATCCCACTATCCAACCCAAATGGCCTTCAGAAAGTGGCTAGACGACAGCAGGAAGAAGTTCCTGTGCAAGGGAGCGGTGCTCAAAGAGCACATCAAGAACAAATGGAACCATTTTTGGGATATTTCCCACAGCGTGAGCCACACGCCTGTTGAACCAAGCTCCAGTGAGGGGGAGGATGAGGAGGAGGACAACGACGACGACTAGGCTGCATAGGCAGCGAGATGAACGACTTTTGGGCTGCAAAGGCAGCGTTACGAAACAGGTTTGAGGACTACGTTGAACCCCAACGTTTTGACAGCGACTCGACAGCAAGGCGAGGAGGTATCCGAGGCGATGGGACAAGACAGCGGCGGGCTGTGAGGTGGGCGAGGAGACGACTGTGACGTTTGTAGGTGGTGGAGGTGGATAGGAAGATGGGTCGTCGAGGTCACAAAAGGTTCGCAGACTCACCCAGGCTTACCGGATGAAGTACCCTGGTTACTACCAGTGTATTCTGGGCGCTCAAAGTACCTCGGGAACATGCACGTCAGCATCTCGGACTGCAGCAACTTATAAATACGGTCGGACATTTGGGATGGCTTCTGGTCCCGCTTCCTTGGCAAACCACCGCCTATTCGCCGGTCGCCGTTTCAGCCTTTCGCTTCAACCACTCGCCCTCGCAGCGCATATTTTCATCGCAACCGGTCAACAGCCTTGGGAACACAGATATGCACGTCTCTGCACGACTAGAACTTTCGGTCCAATCGTCGCGACCCCTCATTCTGGATGCCTGTTGTTTCGAAACGCGGACAGGCCATGAAACGGCTGCCATCAGCGTTCGCCGCGTTTCAGGTGAACTACGCCTCCTCCACAACGCTAGCTGCATTTCTGGTCGCTGCAGCTGAGGCTGAGAATGTGGTTGGGGTTATATAGCCGGCGATGGAGGCGTTCGCTTTTTGGTCAGGACGACGTTCTTCAACTACTAGCGCAGCGCGCATTGAATACATTTCTTTCTTGTACATCCTTTCCTCTTCTGCATCATGAGCGCTTACGAACATTCAAGCGCTGGCTCGCTGTATACATACGATACGACTGATGATTTCGGTAACGAACCCTTCCACGCTGCGCTTTCAGCATGGGGTTATATGGAGGATCAGCCAAACATTGCCAATAAGTACCAACAAAGCCCTATCGGTATGTGAAAATTACTCCCATTGCCCTAGAGTAGTACTTTGACTGACCCGAAAACAGAGGCTCTGCAACATCTTCCTCGACAATGGCCGACCGCAAACACCGTACGCCAGCCCTTCGTATCGTCGCAACACCTCTCCGCTTCGAGCTCCTCGTCGGCAATGTCAAGCTATCGATCGTCGGGAAACAGCAGCTTCGCGCAGACCCCTCTTCGAGACTCAATGTCATCGTCCACATCAGGTTATTCAAACACGTCCGATATGTCGAGGAATCAACACTTTTCCATGGCTGAACATCTCTTGTGCTACGGGCCTGCCGAACATCCTCTCTATGCCGCTACCCCAACAGAAGAGCCCTGCCACCGCCCTATTGAAGCAAAGTCCCCCAAGAAACCAGCCCCGCAATTAAAAGACTACTTCAAAACCTGCGTCTCCGCACACAAACAATCCCGCCTCTGCCCCAAACCCCACGCCTACTTCTGCACCATCTGCACCCGCCCCTTCATCTCAAAAGCAGATTGGAAACGTCACGAGGAAACCTACCAAGAGCGGCCCGAAATGTTCGTGTGTGGACTCTGCGAGTGCATATATTTCCTCGCGAAGGACTACACGAAACACCACGCCCAAGCCCACCGATGCACGTCCTGCGCCGATGTGGGGCCTGGCAGGAAAAAGGCTCATGCGCTGGCTGCGAGACGGCGGCGCATGACGAGGACGGGCTGGGGCTGTGGGTTCTGCGTTCATTTTAGTAGCGAGTGGGGGGAGAGGTGTGATCATGTTGGGCGGCATATGGGGGAAGAGGGGAAGGGGGTGAGGGAGTGGAAACATACTAATGTTGTCTACTCTCTACTCCAACGACCGGGGATTTATCATGAGTGGATGCGACTAGTTCGCGCGCTGCCAGATATTACTAGCTTTGGATGGAACAGGACGACTACTGGACGCGTTGAGGGGTATCCGGAGAGTAATCTTACTCCTCAGCTGCAGGATTACCTGGAGTATTTTACGGCGGATCAGGATGCGGCGGCTGTGGCGGGGTTGGCTTATGCGAAGATGAAGAAGGCGACTGCGACGATGAGGGGGGATGAGAGGCCGCCTGTTCCGCCGAAGGATTATCCTGCTGCAGAGGGGCGGAGTTGGGATGGGGAGATGGATCTGTGGGGGCAGCTTTCGAGTTCGGTGGTTGAAGACGAGGTGTTGCCTACGGGTGTTAGTCGTTTGGGGGGATGGTATGCTGGGGAATGATTCTTTGAGCAACTCGTATTACGCCATGTCTAATGTATAATGAATTCAGGGCAATACTTCGCAAGAAGTTTTGCAACAAACCCATAATGACGCATAATCAACATCCTCGCCATCACCACCCCTCCAATTCCTCACCCTTCGTCTCTAAACTCGGCGGCTGAACAGGCATACCCTTCTTCAACGCACCCACAAGCGGGTCCTTACTCATCATCTCCTGTATCTTCTCATCATTGCTGACATCAGCCTTAACCCGCTTATACGCCATCCTCGAAGGCTTATCCACAACATTGAGAAAGCTCTCTCTCCTTGCCGTCGACCAAGCGTTCAACAATCTCTCATCATCCTGCGCCTTCCTAGTAAGAACCCGAACGAGAACCTCAGAGAGCGAAGACGCATCCGCCATCCCAGACGCCAAACCAAGTCCCGCATACGGATTCGTCAAATGCGCCGCATCCCCCACAAGACAAACACGCTCCTCGTGATGATACAACGACGGAACAAGCCGCTGTTGCGCTTTATACGGCGCCACCCTCACAACCTCATACGCCTTCTCCCCCTGCCCATCCCGTCCTCCATCCGGCATCATAACCCCCAACTTCTCATCCAGCGTCCTCATAATCTCCTCCTCAGACACACCAATCGGGACCCCGTAACTCACGCGCCATAAAGCGGGTTTCCCATCCGCGGTGGCGGAGGCGTGATTGATGCGGCCAATGAGACCGTAGTGAAGCGGATCCATGATGAAGTTCGCGTCGTGGAAGCCGTGGGCGTGGAAGTCGAAGTGGAGGTCTGTGGCTACGAGTTGGGCGTCGAGGGTTTCGCCTTCGAGGCTGATGGAGAGGTCTTTGCGGATGGTGGAGTGGGCGCCGGATGCGTCGATTAAGTAGGCGGCTTCGAGGGATTCGTCCCCGAGTTGTGTTGAGGTGGCTTCCGGGGTGATTTGCACGGTGACGCTGCTGGGTGTTGATTTGAAGGAGGTGACGCTGGTTCCGAGGCGTACTTCTGCCTTTTCGTCACCGAGGGCTGCGAGTCGCTTCATGAGGATTTGTTGGAATTTTCCCTGGGGTAGTAGGAGTTGTCCTTTTCCTTTCATGCCTTCGCCTGAGTTGTCGAATGTTTTTTCTGCGATCACTTTGCTGCCGTTTTGGATACTCGTTCGAAAACAGAGGCCTGAGCTCAAACTTCCTGTCTTCACCAACTCCGGTAACAGTCCTTCGACTTTGGATAAGATGGGATATGTAGGCGGTTGATGTGCCATTGCGCGCGTCGACATAGGATCTGGCTGCTGCGGTTCGATGACGACCACCTTGTTGGGTATGTCGGACTGTGCGAGGAGGAGAGCTAGAAAGAGGCCGACGCAACCGCCTCCTGCGATCACGATTGGGAGGGGTTTGGCATTGTTGCCGTTGGTGCCGTTCGCGTGCGAGAAGCCGTACGAGAAGTCGCTAGAAACATTGGTATCGTCGTTTCCGGTGCTAACGTTGAGGCTCGATAAGTCGAGATTGAGTGCAACCGAAACCGCCATAGCTAGTGGATGATCTGAAGCTTTTGCTGTTGAGTCGGGGGTAAATCTGGTAATCAAGATGTGTCGAAGATGGACTGATGCTCTTCACGGTGACCGAGGTCTATATCTGCATGCAACTTCAATTCTGCAAGTTAACATTAGGAGCCGCATCTTAGTATTGCGTGTGTGTATTAACGGTTCTTTTTCGGATGCCGAACGATGTTTCCGGCGATGTGGTGCTGTCATTGTGGTACCTGCCGCAACGGCCCCGATGTGGGGAACCGGCGACTTTAGCCTCAGGGTCCAGGCGACGTCAGAGGGTTTCAGGGACCTTCGACCGACCGCCGACATCACATCAATATGCACGTGCGTGAAAAGGAAATGTTCATCTATGTATTGAAGCTACCTGTATAACTGTGTACACGTCTAACAATCTACCTGACCTTGGTATATTGCTGTTCGGACATCTTTCTCTACCACCGATGTCTTGCTAATCCCATACTCCCACATCCTGTACATCTTGATCCTGATCATTAACTGTAGGTCCCACGTACGGATAATAGTGCTGAACGCCCCTCTTATCTCCATCCGAAATCGCCGTAAACCATGGAATGATCTGTGCGTTCTCATCGTTCGGCCCCGAACCGTCACCGGGACGTCCATTCTTCCAGCGTACAAGGGGTAGCTCATTGACGCCACCTCGCTGATTTGCAGCGTGCGCTCGAGAGGGGTAGTGCATGATAGAATCGAAGTCGTATGCCGTTTCCGAGTACTGTGCCAACGGTGTCGTTTTATCTTTTGCGAGACCCATGTCGGTACAGTACGCGGTTGGGGTTGCAAAATGGAGGCCGTGCATGTATCCCAACCAGTTGGATCCACAGACGTCCTCAATCGTTTTCCCCTTCCACGCGGGCTCAGTCTCCACTTTCTTCTTGGCAGTCTCGTAGCCCTCGAGTTTGGAGCAGTCGAAGTTGACATGGTCGTCCCCTGAACTTGTTAGCCGGGATAGAAAAGTTGTCTAGCAGAACAAGCTCACGGTCCTTCCTCTGATGCTCATGTTCAAAGCCAAGAACATGACCCAGCTCATGAGCGACCTCCCATTTCCATAAGTCGTAGTCAGCAGGACGCACTACAAGAAGCAAACTGTGTCGATCGGGTTTCTCATTTCTTGGAGTAGGAAAAAGATGTTAGTAACCTGATAATAGACAGTTGAAGTATAATCCTTGTCAATGACCGACTTACTGTGTCTCTGGGATGAATCCAATAGTTGCTGAAGCAGATTCATCCCAGGATTCCTTGATCAGAAGTGTACCTTCGGGGACGAATTCGTTCCATTCGTCATCCTCATCACAACGTGGATAAAATCCCTCTTCGTCGTCGTCGTAGTAATAGTGACGGAATCCAGCAAATCGATGTCCATTGTCTTTACCCTTGCCCAACTTGGTCATCCACTCTTTTGCTGCCTCCTCCACTGTGGTAAACAGAGTTAGTACTCGCAGAATTCGTGATGTGGAAGGCGACATGTAGGGATACTTACCGACGTCGTGGAACGCGTCGTAGTCCTTATCAGTGGCATAGCAGTAATCGATCCAAACGTATGGGTCATTTTCGGGGCCCTGATCGGGCCAGACCGTTTTATCTGGAATCCGATGGTTGATGACTGACATCCAGCCTTGGCCGCCATTATCGCCGAGCTGTCCAGATACTTCCAGGTCGGCGATGAAGTCGTCGACTAAGGAGCTGTTGGTGAGACGATTGTTGTTGAAGGGAAAACCGCATGCGGAGGTCAGGGTCGCAAAAAGACCGGCGAGGAGGAGAAGTAAGAGCTGCATATTGTACAAGGTTTTGGTACAACTGAGTAGATTGAGAGTCGATGTGTAGACTGGGAAACAGGAGAGTGGGCGGATCTATATACGCAGACAAAGCAGAGTCTCGTTGCTAGCGCGATTGCCTCATCGGATTATCGTGTGCTGCCTGAAGGCGATGATAAAGGAGCAAACGTTCCTGGCAGAAGCTTTGGCCAATATACAGTCATGGACTTGTGCTCGTGATGATGAGCGGGGTTTGGCCGGCTGCATCTGCACTAGAAGTGCATTTATCACTCTCAGATAGGAAAAGTAGAACCAGTCTTGTGAAAGACTGATATGGCCGTATTGGTGAGTTCGGTAGCCTGAGAAATGAGCTCATTACCTTCCCTAGGGACTCACAAGACTTTCGTAGAATAAGATAAGGTACGGTCGCCACGACAGTGGGAGTGAATACCAGTGACTGCAAGTGTAGTATAGGAAAGCCACAGCAGGCGCACTCGATAACCAGAAAAGCGGAGCCTTTATACCGTATTGTTTGTACATATCTAGATTGTCAGAGAGTATACACAGCAGAAAACCACTCACAAACCTCTCTTCGTAACAATCGCAACATCAGCAACCATCCTTATCTTATTCACCCCACCTTCAACCTTGAACCACTGGTTACGAGGCAACTCGTCCACGATGGAGTCGAGCACCTCGTCCCACATATCCCCGTGGCGCTGTCAAAGGTGTTGTCTGCAAAGGTGAGGTTGCATGCGTCCATTGTTTCGACTTTGACTGGCCACGAGGGCTTGTCGGTGAGATTGGCTTGCAGCTGAGCGAGAAACATGGGGTTTACGTGTGTGGCGTGAATCTTGAGACCTGTTGGGGGATTGCTTCCCATCATCGCCATGGTCATTGCGCCGGGACCGCAGCCGTTGTCGTGGACGACTGACGTTGCAGTGAGTGATGGGAGTTCCTTGAAGAGCTTTCGAGTAACAGAATTGCTGACTTCTCTCGAATATCTGATACGCCCTCTTACGAGGCCTTTGGATTCCGTTTCTGGCTTATCATTCTTGGGAGAAGACCCAGTCTGAGGACTCGAAGTGTGAACGAGGCATACACGATTGTGATGGCCGAGTAGAATAGTGGTCGGTAGTAGTTCATGTTCTGAAGGATCGAAATGATTACGTGGTTGGTCTTGGCTTGTTTGAGCTGGAGTGCAGGAGATGTCGGAGGGCCCGGCTACCCCGCGAAGGTTGGCGCGCTGTCGCTGATGGCTCGAGTCGTGAAGCAGTGCGCACAAAGAATTTGTCTCCTTTGTGATCGAAACGATGGACAAGTCGTCGCACGCGTGTTGATGAGTATCAGTGGCATGCGTCGGTCTAAAGATGGAACGGTAGTGAGATGTGGCTAGTGACGTACGCCACCCGTGGACCGCGTGGGCCGAAACAAACCATAGAACGGGACACGAATTGCCAAGTCAAGACATCCACGAATGCTTCCCCAGAACCCCCAGAGCCTCTTTCCCCCGTAAACCAAGTCTTCTTGATGCGGTAGCGACTGCATTACGCGTATTTCAAGATGTCTGCGCCCACTACATCGGACCCCATACAGCAGAGTGGTAGGTGAGCTTGCAGCCCTCGGAGGTGCCAGTAAACTCCGCTTTCACGTCGCGGCCCATGTGGGAGCACGGAAGAATTACAGGCTAACAGGCGACGCCAGGCACTTTGTCCAAGTCGCAGAAAAAGAAGAACAAGAAGAAAGCCGCCGCTGCGAACAAGGCGGACGGCACAGACAAAGTGAATGGGGACCACGCCAGAAGCGACGCGGAGGATCACGACGAAGACGCCGAGGATGAGGCCGAGCAGGCTGTATGCGGTCCACGAGAGCCCTCTATACAACCACGAGTACTAATGGTGTCAATGCAGAAGCCCGCCGCGCATTCAGCCGATCCAGACGCCGACGACGTAGACGACGACCAACCGCCGCTGTCGCCGACCCTGCAGACAAACGGGACTCCACACCACAGCATCTCGTCCGCAATTGCGCTTGGACTGGCACGCTCACGCTCGCAACAAGGAATCTCCGCGTCCCCGCCGCCCCCTTCAGACACCAGCGCACGCTTAGACGCGATAGCCAAGGAGCGCGATGCGCTACGCCAGGAAGTCACGGAGCTGAGGAAGAGTCTGGAGGAGGTTCAGAACAAGCAGAACGCGGGGACATCAGACGAGTCACATGCGAATCATGAGGAGGAAATGCGGAGTCTGAGGGAGGAGCTGGATGAGGCCAACGAGGGCAAAGAGCACTTTGAGACACAATACAAGAACTTGCTGGGCAGGGTCAATACGATCAAGACCAGCCTGGGCGATCGGTTAAAAGCCGATGCGGTATGTTTGCATAGGACTTTGCAGCAGACAGAGTGCTGACCCAATGCAGGCCAGAATCGAGGAGTTCCAATCGCAAATCGCCGAGCTCGAGGAGCAAACCCGCGAGCTACAAGAGAACAACAACAGCCTCACCGAGGAGCTCGCAAAGCTACGGCAAGAAAAGGAAGCCCAGGCGTCCGAGATCGAGACCCTACGGAGCAGGTCGACTTTGTCGCAACAGAACTGGATCAAGGAACGCGATGAGCTGATTTCGCGGGAAGCATACGCCAGGGAGGAGTTCGAGAACGCCAAACAGGCCATGCAAGACTGGGAAGTGTTGGCCATGAACGAGCGATCTCTGCGCGAGAACCTCGCTGAGAAAGACGCTGAATTGCGGGATCAGCTGGAGTCGATGCGGGAAGAGTACGAACGGGCTGCCAGGGATAGGGACACCAATAATCAAGCTGTGGAGGGTCTGCAGAAGGCGCTGCAAGAAGTACAGAATCGTGAGTACAGTCCACTTATGAAAAGAGATCTTGCTGATTGGCCATGTATAGTACGAAAAGCCGAGCTCAAAAAGTCCGTCGAGACCTACGAATCACAAATCAACGACCTGCGGAAACAAGTCCAAGCCGCGGAATCAGCGTCCAACGCCACCAAAGCCACACTCGAGTCGACACAAAAAGATCTCGAGCGCGCCCTCCCCTTCGAAAAGGAAGTCAAGGAGAAGAACTTGTTAATCGGCAAACTGCGTCACGAAGCGGTAACACTCAACGAACATCTCACCAAGGCTTTGAGGATACTGAAAAAAGGACGGCCGGAAGACAACGTCGATCGACAGATCATCACAAACTACTTTTTGCATTTCTTGAGTATAGACCGGAGTGATCCGAAGAAATTCGAGGCGCTGCAGCTCATCTCTGCGCTGCTGGGCTGGACAGATGGTACGTCCCCACCCTCCCTTCCATCTCCCTCCCCAACCATCCCTTCCACCTAACTAACTCCCCACCCAGAGCAAAAAGAGCAAGCAGGACTCGCTCGCCCCGGCACATCATCCAGCTCAACCGGCCTGCGCATCCCCCTTTCCTCGCCCTTTAGACGAACGCCATCGACGGCGTCGCTGAGCGCCGCAGCCGCAGACCCCATGCTCATGGCTAGTAGCTCGAGCAATAAGGAGTCGTTGGCGGAACTGTGGCAGGATTTCTTGGAAAGGGAGGCAGCGGAGGGCAAGGGCGATGCGAGTAGGAGGGGGAGTACGGTTGGTTCGCCGCCGCCGGCAGGGGGTGAGAAGAGGTAATGGATGGATGGGGGTAATTATAGAACACTTTGGTGCAACAGAATTGGGTGCTGAAGACACCTTGAATTGCTTGATCCAGTGTGCATTTGCTTGTGGTGTATATCGTAGTCGCCTGTCCGTTATGTTGTTACATCTTTCTTGTACAAAACCCCAACGCCTAAGCCGCGCCTTTTATGCGCTACAGATAGAGTCATCCAGACTACATGGCATTGCTCTCGTTCGAGATTTCTTCCTCCTCCCCGCACCATGTCTTTCAGCCTACGTAGTTCTCCTTCACAACTTCTCCACCCCGCATCATCTCTTCCAGCCCGTGTGCTTCATTACTGCCTCTTCCTTCGCCTTCCTCTGGTCGGGCTCTAGCGTCCGCATCCGCTGGGCTTCTTCGCGCTTTTCCCTCTTCATCACCTTCGCTTGCTTGTCGGTCGGTCGGCGGATGGCCCAGTTGAGCTGGCCGAAGATGGTGGTCTTGATGGCTGGGGTGCTTGTTAGCGAATAGCCCTTCTAATGGGGATTGGCAGTCGTACCATCCACACAGTAGGGACACAGAATGTGCAGGCGCTTGACTCTTCCGCACCCAGAACATGTGTTGAGCGATGTGATGTCCTTCAGTCCCTTGCCCGCCATGAACCGTTGGCGCTTCTTGCGGTATGAGGTCTTCTTCTTGGGCACTGCGTTGAGTATGCCGTCCCAGATATCGGATAGTGATGGTATTGAGGGGAGTGATAGGGATGGTATTGCGAGTGCGCCGAATGGTGTGTTGATTGCGCCGAAGGGTTGTGATAGGCGTTGCAGGAAAGGCGTGTTGAGGATGGGCCGCATTGGGCCATTGAGGCCCGGCAGCAGCGTCTGCCAAAGCGGAGGAAGCGGGCGGGTGAGTGCCATGACTGCAGCGGGTGACTGGCTGCGACGGGATTACGTAGGGCCGCGAAATGGCGATGCCGGTGATGGTGTTGTAAAATGTCGTGACCCCAGTCCGAGCTTGCAGGTCGCGCCTTACCGCCCTCCCACTAGCGCGCTTTCGCTTCCTAGCTGCCCCCTTTCCCGCGCCTGCATCTCCACGAGAAAGTCGCCAGCGCAGCGACCCTGACTATTTACTCTATTACGACGACACCTCCGACCCTCCTCTCCCCAACCTAATTCCCATTCACCCACCCACCTCCATCACCCCCAGTCCGCGCCCCGAGGCTCCCATCATCCACAATGGCTGCTGCATACAACCAGAACCAGTCGCAGCCCATCTTCCCGGACAGCTATGTCGGTTTCGACAGCATCACCAAGCAGATTGAGCGCAAGTCGGTCAAGCGGGGCTTCCAGTTCAATGTCATCTGCGTTGGTAGGCTTCATCTTTCTATCACGTGTCCCCATTGGTATTGACG